CTATGGGGGAAGCCATTAACACAAGGAGACATGATTCCCCAGTAACAGGAAGGAAAGAATTGGATTTGTCCAGTGGATATTATTAGCAGATAGCAAAAAGCATTTAACAGACAGGTACTTTGGTGCAGTGTCAACACATTCTCAATAAACATGCTTCAAAGAAGCACCATATTATTATTATTTTTGCCTTGCTTCAAATTTCAATTTCAGCTTCTCAAAGTGTTCTTTATTAATCATAATGAACCCATCCAGCATTAATATAAAACTGTTGTGATTAATGGGCTAGTGCCCTGGCATCCTGCAGGTCACCACAGTGAGGCATTCCTTTCGGCAACATAAAGAAAAAAAGAAAGACTACTAGACAGAAATGGGAAACCAACACCCTTAACTTTGTGTCCATTCCATATTCCCGTCTGCTATGATTTTAACTGGCCTGTGAACTGACCTGTATGTGTTAACTACTGCCCTGGGGCAACAGCACAGAAAACCTCACAATTCTCCAGACATGTAGATACAGCTATGCCTCGGCCTCCTGACTTGCAGAATATCTCTCTGAATTTCTAAAACATGATCTCTATTAAAGGGGTGGAAAATCTGTGGGTTTTGTCCCCCCTAGGTTGATTCTCCAAACTCTCTCCCCTGGAGTTGCAGAAAGTCCTTCACTCTACTTAAGTGCTGTACTGTATATCGGTTCTGTGGAGCAGTCACAAAGAGAGGGAAAGAAAATCAGACAAAGACGAGCTGCATAAGAAATGGATGTAAACGCCTGTAATTCCAGCACTTTGGGAGGCTGAGGCGGGCGGATCACGAGGTCAGGAGATTGAGACCAGCCTGGCCAAAATGGTGAAACCCTGTCTCTACTAAAAATACAAAACTTAGCTGGGCATGGTGGTGCACGCCTGTAGTCCCAGCTGCTCGGGTGGCGGAGGCAGGAGAACTGCTTGAACCCGGGAGGTGGAGGTTGCAGTGAGCCAAGATCGTGTCACTGCACTCCTGCCTAGCGCCTGACAAGAGAGCAAGACTCTGTCTCAAAAAAAAAAAAAAAAGAAAAAGAAATGGATGTAGGACAAGAAGGGAGTTGCATAAGAAATGGACGTAAGACAAATGCAAATATTTTAGGCTGGGGTGTGTGTGTGTGTGTGTGTGTGTGTGTGTGTGAGGGTTTTTTCTCCCCCGTAGAAAATATAAGCGATTCAGCTGTAAGAAATTCTATTTCTAAGACTGCAGTAAACTATCACACCTGTAGGCTTTTATTTTTCACAGAGGACTCTGTAAAATCCAAGGCAGCAAATCAGAATTCGGTGTGGTTTAGAGGGAATGCAACCACAGATTCCAGCCAAGAGGGAAAAGCTCAATTATACCATTCTTTACATGCCCAGTCTTGTACTCTGACAGCCCCATGTAAGTGAAATGTGATCCATGATCATGGCCAGGGCAGAGGAAACACAAGCTGCAAGCCCCTGCATTATGCATAGTGAATATACTTCACGGTGTTGGTGCTGGAACAGGAGGTCTAATACATTACTGCTTGCCTGACGGCATGATGAGCAAGTATTTCTGAGTGATGTCATTACCTTTCAGGGACTGTGTTTGACTCAGGAACTGGCTGAATCCATCTATTCAAAACCATTCAATGCTGAGGGTCCAGGCTTCTACTCTTGGATACTTTTGTGCACAGGACAATCAAGGAAGAAGGTCTAAGATGATGAGATGACCATGTTTGTTTCTCTCACAATCTCTTACTGCCCCCACTGCTGGAAGCATTCTTTCAATCCCCATTCCTCCACACCACGGACTGCAATCATAGCCAGCTCCTAAGCAGCCCTATAAGGGAAGGAACCACTAGATCTCCAAAAACGTCATCATAATTTACCTGAGCAAGGTGTGCTTGAGAGACATTCACAGTCTTTTTTATCCTGGTAAGCACACATCTGCCTGCTTCTGCACTTGACCGAGCTCCTTCAGGTCAGGGAGCTTATCTGGCTGTTCACGGGGTCCTCCACGCCCCATCCAGAGACTCCCACCTAGTAAGAGCTCAGTAATGCTTGTTGAATAAAGAGACGGTCAATTTACCATTTGCCGCTGATGTGTTTAATGGCGCACATGTGTTTAGCTTTGTGGTTACATGCGGTGTCCCCAACTAGGCTACGGTGCTTCTGTCCTGTAGAGAGAAGTCTGAATTCAGGTATGATGACATTTTTAGAGCCTGCTTTATAGTAAGGTTGTATCAGTTATTCAGTTTCCTCTGGAGTTACCAAATGGTGGGGTGGAAAGCAAGGGAAGTAGCAGCCACTGCAGCCTTTGTAAATAAGAGGCTTCTCTAAGCTGAGGAACAGTGTGCACAGATGGGGAAGGGAGGAACAACATGGGTGTCACAGACAGAGATTAAAAGTAACCCAGCTGGGCGTGGTGGCTTATGCCTATAATCCCAGCACTTTGGAAGACTGAGGCTGGCGGATCATCTGAGGTAGGTGTTTGAGACCAGCCTGACCAACATGGTGAAACCTCATCTCTAATACAAAAAAATTAGCTGGGAGTGTTTGCATGAGCCTGTAATCCCAGCAACTCGGGGGGCTGAAGTAGGAGAATCGCTTGAACCTGGGAGGCAGAGGTAGCAGTGAGCTAAGACTGTGCCATCGCGCTTCAGCCTGGGTGAAAATCGAAACTCCATCTCAAAAAGAAAAAAAGTAACCCCAGGAGGTGTTATGATTTAGAAATGACTGTCCCAGTGATGGGGAGGAAGGCAGCAAATCACGCTGCCGTGTGTGTACCTATGCAACAATCTTGCATGTTCTTCACATGTACCCCAAAACCTAAAATGCGATTAAAAAAAAAAAAAGCTGCCCCTGACTCCGAGGCCTTCTGGGGCTGGTATCCTGCTTTCTGGGAGTCTCTCTAAAGTCCTCTTGTTCTTTTTCTCAATATGGAAGCAGGCTAACGAGGAAAGGTAAGGCATGCCTGGAAATAGAACGCGGGTCTAAGCCAAGAGGGGTGGGTGGAGTAATCAAGCCGGTCTCCTTCGGCGCTTTCACCACCGCCCTTTTAAGGGCTCCTTGGGAGCCGAGGGACACCCACACCACCCGACCCCACCCCACCAGGCTGCTGGAGTCCTGGGACCACCCGGGTCTGTGGCCCAAATCCTTCCTAGCTAAGGGGAGGGGAGGGGGGCTTCGGCAGGATTGTGACATAAGATCGCCATGGTGACAGGGAGCAGATCTAGACCCGAGCCTAATAAAGGTAGCGTAAATAAAGGTGTCATAAATGACGGGGCGGGGCGCATGCTTGTCAGGGACACAAGCCTCTAGGGGCTGCCAGAAGGGCTCCCGCTCAATGCGCGGCGCCAGTGCTTGTCATGTGCCAGCTGCGTCTGTGCACCCCATGGCCCCTACTCACGTGGCAACTATTGTGGCTACTAGTCCAGGAGGCTCAGCCTCTGGAGTAGGTCAAGGACCCGCTCCAGCTGACCTCTAACCCCCTGGAGCCGACTGAGCCCTGGTCTTCCCACTCCAGTCTCCCATGGGAATCTCCCCATGTGCTTACTTCCCTGGCAGGCCCCAGAGGCTTTGGTTACCTGGGGTCCTCTGCTTCCTCCTACAGGTCAGCCCTGCCCCAGGAATCGACCGAGAATTTGGTTCCATTCCTGGACACGGATTCAGCTGGAGAGCTGTCCCTAGGGCCAGAGCCCTTCCGTCTGCACACCCAGATCTGAATGACAAGCTGACTCGGCAAGAAAGGCTCCCACAGGTGGGTCCAATGCTGGACTGGGATCAGAACCAGACCCTAGTTCAGCCTCCTTGCCTCAAAAGTAAGGTTCAGACTACAGATCCAGATCAGGCTGCAGGGCATCAGGCAGATGAAATACTTGTTCCACCTCTAGACAGTAAGGATTCAAAAGCAGCCAACTTTATAGTTTCTCCCAAGAACCTGAAGAAAGATCTAGCTCAGCATTGGAGGCTTGCTAAGGTTGTGGGAATTCCACATTGATTCCACTTTCTCAATTCCATCTAGAGACCAAAACTCAAAATCCAGAGACCCTTGAAGAGATCCAGTCCTCTTCCCTACAGCAAGAAGCCCTAGCGCAGTTTCCACAGCTCCCTGAGGAGGTAGAACCTTCTTCAACCCAGCAGAAGGCTCCAGCTCTGCCTTCACAGTCCCTTGAGGGGGTCCACTCTTCTTCAACAGAGCAGGAGGCCCCTGTGCAACAGTTACCTGCCTCTGAAGAGATCATAGCTCACCCACTGATACAGCACGACGTAGATGTTCCCTTTAAAAGTTGGTGTGAAGCTCAGCACTCACACTTGCCCAATGTCACAGGCAAGCCTGTGGATGTGGAGCTTACAGGAACTCTAGAGCCAGGTAAGGAACTTACATCAAGCCAGGAACAGGCCACAGCTCAGCCTCCAGAGCACCCTGAGGAGGTGAACTCCTCAACTCAATTAGAGGCCCCAGCTCAGACACCAGAGCACCCTGAGGACAGGAAACCTTCTGCATCCCAGCAAGAGACCTCAGCTGAGCCTGCGGGTCCTCCCGTGGAGGCTGAACGTTCCCCCAGTGAGCAGGAGCAGCCAGCTCAGCCTTTTGAGTCTTCTGGGAAGCTTGAACCTTCTCAGACCCAGAAGGAGACCCCAGCTCAGCCTCCCAAGGAGATGGAACGTTCTGCAATCCAAAAGGGGACCCCAACTGAGCCTCCAGGTCCTCCTATGGAGCCTGAACCTTCCCCCAGTGAGCAGGAGCAGCCAGCTCAGCCTTCTGAGTTTCCTGTGGGGCCTGAACCTTCTCTGACCCAGCAGGAGGCCCCAGCTCCGCCTCCAGGGTCCTCTATGGAAAGTCTAGCTCAAGCTCCAACAAATAATGAGCTGCCAGTTCAACCTCCAGATGAGGATCAAGCTCATTATAACTTGCCTAACATTACAATTAAACCTACAGATGTGGAGATTACCATAACTTAAGAGCCTACTAAGGAGACAGAATCTTCCCAAGCCCAGCAGGAGGCCCCAACTCAGCATCTAGAGGAGGTGAAACCTTCTGCAACTGAACAGGAGGCCCCAACTGAACCTCCAGGTCCTCCTATGGAGGCTGAACGTTCCCCCAGTGAGCAGGAGCAGCCAGCTCAGTCTTCTGAATCTTCTGAGGAGCTTGGACCTTCTCACACCCAGGAGGAGACTCCAGCGCAGCCTCCCAAAGAAATAGAACCTTCTGCAATCCAAGAGGAGACCCCAACAGAGCCTCCAGGTCCTCCTATGGAGCCTGAACTTTCCCCAGTGAGCAGGAGCAGCCAGCTCAGCCTCTGAGTCTTCTAGGAAGGTTGAATCTTCTCCAGCCCAACAGGAGCCCCCAGCCCAGCCTCCAGAACATCGTGAAGTAATACCACAAGGTCACCATCAAGCTCAGCATTCTGATTTGCCCAGTATCACTGTTATGCCTCCAGAGGTGCAGCTCACCATGGCAACAGAGCCTACTGCAGAGATGGGAACTTCTGCAATCCACCAGGAGGCTATAGCTCAGCTGTCAGGACCAATTAGGGATGTATAACCTTCCCCTACCCAGCACCGGGGCCCACCTCTGCCTCCAGAGTCATTGGAAGAGGTTGGACCTTTACCAATTCAACAGGAGACTTCAGTTCAGTCTCCAGAACCTATTAAGGATGAGAACCCCTCTCCAACCCAGCAGGAGGCTGCAGTTGAGCATCCACAGACCCCTGAGAAGGTTGACTCTCCTCTAAACCAGCACGAGGCCCCAACTCTGACTCCACAGCTCCTTAAGGAAGTTGTAGCTCAACCTCCAGAGCATCATGAGGTACCAGTTTCTCCTCTAAGTCATGACCAAGTTCAGCCTCCAACATTGCACAATGTCACTGTTAAACCTGTGGATCACATCATCACCATGACTCCATATTTCACTCATCGGGTTGAAACTTTAACCCAACAGGGGGCCCCAGCTCAGTTCTTAATGTTCCCTGAGCAGTTTCAACATTTGCAAGAGATTATAATTCAGCAGCTAAATACCCCTGAATATGATGAACTTCCTCCAGTCCATCAAGAGCCCAGAATTCAGCCTCCAATTCAGCTCTTCTCAGACTTTGAAAGTCCATTGAGTGATGAGGTGGTATTTTCACCTCTAGATCTGTCTCCAGTATTCAGAAGTAATTCACCTTTGCCTAATACCACAGTTAAAAATGTGGATCTGGAGCTTACCATACCTACAGCAGTCACTATGGAGGTTGAACCTTCTCTAGTCCAGCAGGACAACCATCCTATTCCCATTGAGTAGGCAGACTTTTTTCTAGTCCAGCCTGATCTCCATTCCCCACCTCTGCATTCTCCTGAAAAGACTGAATCTCCAGTCCAGCAAGAGGCCACAATTCAGACTCCAGATTCTCCTAAGGAGGTAGAACCTTCTCCAGTCCAGAAAGACTTCCCAGCTGAACCACCATTGCCCCTTAAGGAGGTTGAACCATCTGTAACCCAGAAGGAAGCCTCAGGCCATCCTCCAAAGTTCACGGAAGAGATCAGCCCTCCACTGCAGCAGGAGATACCAGCTCAGCCATCAGAGCCACCTGGGAACGTCGAACTACGTCCTGTCCTACAGCAGGCCGCAACTCAGCTTTTAGAGCCACCTAAAGAGGTAGGATCCTCTCCAGTCCAGCAAGCAGTCCCTGCTCAGTCTTCAGAGCCCCCTATGGTGATAGAACCCTCTCTGACTCAGCAGATCTCCCCATCTTTGCCTCCAGAGTTCCCTGAAGAGGTGGAACCATCTCTAACTCAGCAGGACATTCCAGCTCAGATTCCAGAGCCCCCTATGGAGGCAGAACCTTCTCCACCCCAGCAGGAGGCCATAGTTCAGGCTCCAGAGCCCCCTAAGGGGGCAGAACCTTCAAGCCAGCAGATGGTCCCAGCTCAGGTTCCAGAGCCACCTAAGGAGGTTGCAGCTCAACCTCCAGCTCATTGTGAGTTGACAATTCCAACACCAGGTCAGGATCAAGGTCAGCATTCAACATCGCCTAGTGTCATAGTTCAACCTTTGAACCTGGGGCTTACCATCACTCCAGAACCCATGACAGAGGTTGAACTTTCTCCAACCATGCAGGAGACCCCAACTCAGCCTCCTAAGAAAGTTGGACCCCAACTTCCAGTATATCAAGAGGTAACAGTTCCAACACCAGGTCAGGATCAAGTTCAGCACCCAGTGTCACCCAGCGTTGCAGCTCTACCTCTAGACCTGGGACTTATCAAACCTCCAGAACCCACTACGGAGGTTGAACATTCTACACCCCTGAAGAAGACTGTAGAGACTCCAAAGCACACTAAGGTGACACTTCCACATCCAGATGAGGTTCAGACTCAGCATTCAAACCTGACTCAAGCCACAGTTCAACCTTTGGATCTGGGGCTTACCATCACTCCTGAATCCACTACAGAGGTTGAACCTTCCACAGCCCTGATGGCTTACAGCTCCTCCTCCAAAACACCCTGAGGTGACACCTTCACCTTCAGACAAGAGTCAGACTCAGCATTCAAACCTGACTCAAGTCACAGTTCAGCCGCTGGATCTGGAGGTTACCATAACTACAGAACCTACTACAGAGGTTAAACCGTCTCCAGCCACAGAGGAGACCTCCACTCAGCCTCCAGATCTGGGTCTTGCTATAATTCCAGAACCCAATACAGAGACTGGACATTCTGCAGCCCTGGAGAAGACTACAGCTCCTCGTCCAGACCAGGTTCAGACTCAGCATCAAAACCTGACTGAAGTCACAGGTCCACCTACTGATCTAGAACCTACTCATGATTCATTGGTGCAGTCTGAAAGTTACACCCAAGATAAGACTTTAACTGCACCAGAGGAGCAGGCCTCCGCAAGCACCAACATATGTGAGCTCTGTACCTGGAGAGGTGAGACGCTGTTGTGTATTGATCTCAGCCCAAAGCGGAGGCTCCGCCACATGCCTGTGCCAAAGCCCAACACCTACAACGGCACCTTCACCATCTTGTAAGAATCACCTTTCCTCCATTGTCCTCTGTGTCCTGCCTGACATGGCAGCCTTTCCCTTGAGGCCTTCCTGGGCCTTCTTTATCTCCCCAAGCCATACTGACAGCTGACTTTCTGCTTTCACCTTTGCTTGTCCACTCTTCCTTCTCCTCATCCTTTACTGTTAGGCCCCTTCTCCAATCCTTTGCTTCTGATTGCTCAGCAACTACATATTAAATGTACAAATAAATTATTGAGTAAAAGAAGTGATACAGAAAAAAAAAAAAAAAGACTGTCACAATTCTGTGGGCCACTGATTCCTTCACTATCTCCTCAAGGTTCTGTGTCTACCAATGTTCCAAAAGACATTCGTCTTCCCTCCCTCTCTTCCATACACAGCGTTCCTCTGTGTTGGAAGTGGGAGACAGGCATGAATAAGACGTGTCTCTGCCTTCAGGCACTCACAGTGAGGTGGGAAGGAGTGGTGTGTCAGCCAGTAATTCTGACACAGGATGCTCTCTGGTTTGATTCCAGTGTGCTACAGTACAACAACCAACTATGAAGGAGAATAGAGAGTCTGATCCTGGCTTTACTACTACTTTTTAACAAGTCAACCACAGTTTCCTCATCTGTAAAATGTAAATCATAATACTTACTTTACCTAACAAAGAGGGTTGAGTTGTTTCAAATATTTATTGAGATAATCCATAAAAATGCACACTCAAAGGATAAAGTTCTATAGATGCCAGGCCTCCCTCTCCTCCTCCTCCTCCTCATCATCACACCACCATCAGCATTATGATTTTGTCTATTTAAACATGTGTGTATGTGTGTGTGTGGGGGAGAGACTGCACATGCACGGATGTGCATGCACCTAGTAAAAGGGCGGGAAAGAAGGAGGGAAGGAGACCACAGATCAGGAAAATACTTCAAAGGGTCCATGTGAAGCCAGGAATCAAATGCTAAACCTGCCACGATTTACAAAAAGAAGCTACTTATATATTATGCTCAGATGCAGCTTTCTCAAGATATTCTCAATCCCGGCTCCTTCAGCTTCTGTTTCCTCCTGTGTCATCCACTGGTAAGAATGCGTGATGGCTACATTATTTGACACCTGTCTCCTAAATTGGGCCTCTTGTTACATATCACATGAGCCCCATTTTATTATTTTATTATTACCTCTTGATAAAGCATTATCTGCTTGTGGCCATTAAGCTACCACTTCGGAAGAAAAGACATTTCTGGCTTTTCCTAAGGAAGTTAATGAGTTGCCCTTGAATGACCTGAGAAGTTCATTATTTCTACAGATTATTAGGGGTAAAGGCAGAGAAGCAACTAAACTGAGAGGGGAAGAGACAGACACTGGACAGAGACTGTTTGTGGTTATTCAAGCAGGAGCACTTTACCTTGTACAAGGTGACCTTTAGGCTGTGGGATCCCTGAGTCACACTGCGCAGGGATGGCACAAAAATATTCTGCCCATCTCCTAGTCTCAGCACCCTGGGACTTGTTAGGGGAAAGTGCAAGAGAGGCATGGAGTGACATCTGTAACACAAATGGGTGGCTGCTGCTGGAGAAGGCTCTGAACCCCACTACACTAATATCAGTTTTACAAAAGAGGATGGTGTCTTGCTCTTCTCAGTAATTCTAGGGCAAGTGCTGTGATTGTGAACCTACAAGATGGGAAAATGGTACAACAGTCCCCTGGGAGGTAGCCAGACTGACATGTGTGTACCCAGTCTCTCTGGGGTCTGGGCAAGTGGACAGGGAAGAGGCAGGTTCTGCAGTGTGTGTGCTGGGTTGGCACACATATCACAAAATCCTAAATGTGTCAGTACTATCTGCCTGTTCTCCGTTCTCTGTGCCATGAACAGTTCATGTTATTTATGACCCCAGCAGCCCTTGACATGTTACTAATGGTGAAGCGAAAGGCAATGAGTAAAGGTCCTCCAGCAAGAGAAGCGTAAAATGAGCCTCTTAATCATCTCCTCTTCCCTTTGCTTGTCATAATCCAGGAAGGCTTTTTTGTACAGCATTAGACCCAGCAATTATATGAATCTGGCCATGAGGCTGATGAAGAAAGTTAGGGATCAAAGCGTTCTTTATGGGACACTTACCTGCTGAGAAGCAAAAGGCATAGATTCTGGTTGTAACTGTGCCATTGGGCAAGGTAAGAGTAGGAAAGAGGCCCACAGTGCTCCCTGGCCTACAGAAACGCCTAATTCACATGCAGAGCAGGAACTTAGACCTCAGGTCGAGCCTTTCCTGGGACACCAGGAAACAACTTTCCTTCCGATATGGTCATAATACTTTGTGACATGCTGACTTATAAGCCCTAACTATGCAGGTAGCATATGTGATGTGCAAGGTGTTATTCTGGGAGTTCTGAGGGATACAGGGCATTGTCACTGGTCTCCTGGAAATCATAGTTAATAAATAAACTATAGAAACAGAAACAAGATTTTCTGAAAGAAAATGACAGCAGTAAAAAGAATAGCAGAGAGGCCAGGTACAGCGCTCCCATCTGTAATCCCAGCACTTTGGGAAGCCGAGGTAGGTGGATCACCTGAGGTCAGGAGTTCCAGACCAGCATGACCAGTATGGTGAGACCCCATCTCTACTAGAAATACAAAAATTATCAGAGTGTGGTAGCATGCACCTGTAGTCCCAGCTACTCAGGAGGCAGAGACAGGAAAATCACTTGAACCCAGGAGGTAGAAGTTGCAGTGAGCCAAGATCGTACCACTGCACTCCAGCCTGGGTGACAGAGTGAAACTCCCTCTCAAAAAACAAAACAAAACAAAAATAGTAGAGAAAGCAAGTACTATATCAGGATTCTGATGGGTGAGATGTTATTTTAGACTGAAAATTAAAGAAGTCTTCAGGGAGCACATTGCTCTTGAATTGGATCTTGGAGACTGGGAAGCACTTTGAAAGTGGAGAGGAAGACAACTATTGCAAACTGGCTGAAACTGATTTATATTATACATAATAAAATCCAATTATGTATTCATTGATTCATTCAACAAATATCATTGAGCAGTTCTCATTTGCTGGGCACTGTGCGAGGCCCTGAGGATACAGTGGTGAACACCACCACAAAAACATGAACTAAGCATGATGACAGTGCATGTGGGTCCAGGCAAGTAGGGGGCAGACGGTGGATACGAGAAAAAGGCTTGAGCAGTAGGACCAGTGCAGTGACCTCTGGTGCAGTTCCTACAGGCTGCCAGAGAACAGTCTCCTCATCACTTGTTGATTTGGTGTTGGTGTTTCCATCTGCAAATTAGGGAAACCACACCTGCTATTTCTTGAAACCATCGGTAAAGTTTGGCTTGAAAGGTGCAGAACGTTGATGGGCAAATTTGCCTGAGTGGTTACATGTGGTTTCTCTGTATCTGTTTCAACTGGATGGGTGATTTACTGAACAGCGCCCAAGGAAATCATGCTAACAGGTTGGCCAATATGTTAAGATCATAGCTCTCCCTGCATAGTGCCATTTCAATTATTCCTCGGTTAAATGAAAGTCTTTTCTCTGGATTGAATGGTCCACTATTGTTAGGTTACTTATTAAAAAAGACTGATAGGCTGAGGCTGTTTTCACTTAGGATTTGTATAACACGTTCATAACTGAAATGGAGGGTTGCCATAGTTACCTGTGTGCGCTGTTAAACAGAGCACAATCTCCACTAAAATCTCTCCATCGAGGTCAACTAGACATTTTCCATCAGCACCAAATAATATGCTGGCTAATGGAAGTTAATGAAATTATTAAAAGAGTAGAAGAAATTGAAAATAAAGTTAATATGAATATATTTTATGTTTAAATATGTTTTAGTGACCAGCCATTTCTGTGGGGTTCTAACCAGCTGGAAACTTTGGAGTAAAGCTAGACATCTGGAGAGAGGTTTAGAGTAAAAACACATTTGGATTTTGGCACAGATTACTGCCTTCGAATCCAGCCCATCATTAACAGCTTCTGTACAGTATTGTTCTTCCTCCAGGGGCAATAAAAATGAAGCAAACCTTTGTTCAATCTAAACTTCCTTTCTTGGTCAGCTGTTCCTGCTGACTTCCCATCCGAGTGGCCCTGTTTCCATTGGAAACGTCAGAATGGAGAAAACCACAGACTGCTTGCTTTAGAAACGGCATGTTCAAATCCAGTAATGCCAAAAAATGTAGACATTGTTTATGAAATAATCACTAGCTTAGCGCTTCTCAAACCTTAGTGTGTATAGATGTCATCTGGAGATCTTGTTATCCTATAGATTCTGATTCAGCAGGTAAAGGGTGGGGACTGTGCGTCTGTTTCTAAAAAGCTCACAAGTGATATCAATACTCCTAATCCTGCTGGGCACAGTGGCTCACAGCTGTAATCCCAGCATTTTGGGAGGTTGAGGCATGTGGCTCACCTGAAGTCAGGTGTTCGAGATCAGCCTGATGAATATGGTGAAACCCCATTTCTACTAAAACTACAAAAATTAGCCAGATATGGTGGCTTACACCTGTAGTCTCAGCTACTCAAGAGGCTGAGATAGGAGAACTGCTTGAACCTGGAAGGTGAAGGTTGCAGTGAGTTGAGATTGCACCACTGTACTCCATCCTGGGCAACAGAGTGAGCTCAGTGTTGAAAAACAAAAACACTCCTAGTCCACACACCAAAACTTGAGAAGAAAGGCCCTAGTTTGTTTCATCATTTGCTTATTGGAATCATCATATACATATCAACTTGAAAGTGCTGCCACACCATCTTCTTGCTTGACACACATGTGAGCTGTCCCGCTGACACTAGGATTTACACCACTTCCTATTTATCAGGTTCACGTGGCATGGTGCTCACAGGGCTCTCCAATATCTTTTGTGGGATTGTGCTTTCAATTTATGATTATCACTCTTAATAAACATGTAAATAGCTCAAATGTAGAGTTAGTGACATGTTTCATCACAGGGCAAATCGGCCTTTAACTGATCTTTACTCTTTAGCAATGAATGAAGCACAAATCAAATGTAAATCTGTCAACTCAAGGCAAACCATAATTCCCCTGGCAGGTGGCATTGACAAAAAAGTATGGAGTATGTGTGAAGTCCAAAATTGTTATTTACATAAATCATAGAGTTTCAGTAAAGCTCAGGCTGAAATTTTACAGTATAGTCTATTTTTGAGGACAATCCATTCATTGTTAGGCATTTTGTGTGTATCTGGGGGTTGGGGGTAATCTATACATGAGCCAAATTAGCCAACTACATGGTACAAATCTACTAGACAGTATTTAACTCAATATTTACCAATAATCATAAAGAAAAAAGGTGCTTATGGAAGCCGCTATGTTCAGCTTTGCATTATTCTCTACCAGTCTGTAAAATGGACACCCCCTCCAACATACATACTGAATTGGTCAGATTCTCACTTTTTTTTTGTAATCAAAAGGATGTTCCAAAAATAAGAAGAGGTCTCTTTATTCTAGACCAGTAGTTCACCTGGAGGACTTTTAAAAGCCCAGATTGCTGGGCTTTACCCCTAGAGTTTCAGATGTCAGGTGGGCCTAAGAATTTGGCTTTCTAACAAGTTTCCAGGTGATGCTGATGCTGCTGGTCTAGGAACCACACTTTGCGAGCCACAGTTCTAGATCATTACTTTACACCCTTGGTTGCATGCTAGAATCGTCTGGGAGCACTTTTGAAAATACCAACACCTGTGCTGAAATCCAGACAAACTAAATCCAAATGGGGCAGAGGTGGGTAGTGGAATACAACTGTGGGTAATGTTTTGTTTTGATTTAAATTTTGATTTTAGATTCAGGTGGTACATATGCAGATTTGCTTCAAGGATATATTGCATTATGCTGAGGTTTGGGCTTCTCTTTTTCTTTTTTTTTTTGAGATCGAGTCTCGCTCTGTCTCCCAGGCTGTAGTGCAGTGGCATGATCTTGGCTCACTGCAACCTCCACCATTCGGGTTCAAGTGATTCTCTGCCTCAGCCTCCCAAGTAGCTGGGACTACAGATGCGCACCACCACACCTGACTAATTTTTGTATCTTTAGTAGAGACAGGGTTTTACCACGTTGGCCAGGCTGGTCTCAAACTCCTGACCTCATGATCCACCATCTCGGCCTCCCAATGTGCTGGGATTACAGGCGTGAGCCACTGTGCCTGGTCCTGGGCTTCTCTTGATCCCAACATCTATATAGTGAACATAGTACCCAACAGGAAGTTTGTCAGCCCTTACTCCTGCTCCCTCCGTCCCTCCTTTTGGAGTCCCTGGTGTATTTTGTTCCCATCTATTTGTCCATGTGTACCCATGGTTTAGCTTCCACTTATAAGTGAGAACATGTAATATTTGGTTTTCTGCTTCCCAACTATCAGTATTTTTTAAAGCTCCCCATTTGGATCTAACCTTCAAAAGGCTAAGAACTACTAGGTATAATGGAAAGTTACCATCTTGCAGCTGAGTACAAAAACATTACCTCAAGCTCATATTAGCCCAGATATATTATAATGGTTCTGAGAGTGTAACTGAACAAAATAATGGGCAGATAAAATGTTCCACAGCTATGGAGATATAAGCCTGAGAATATTTCAGCTGTATCACCTAATTTGAAGATTATCTTCCTGGCATTTGCTGTGTGTGTGGGTGTTTGGCACTTGGACTCCAAAAAGGCTGTCAGTTCTCCCAGGCAGGGCTTCTTGTGCAGAAGATAAACCAGAGGATCCACCTGCTTCTCTAAGGCCATTCCTCTGAAGGGGACTTCCAAAAGGGTGTCATTTTTCTAGTGAAATCATAACATGGTTCAGAAACTCAAGAAGGATATGTGATACTTCTTTCTGCTTCCTCAGTCAACAGCTTTCTCTACCTCCTGTCTCATCACAATCTTCCAGTTGGCAAGAAGTTAGAGAGGGATAAGTAAGAAGATTCCAAAATGCTCTAAGCTTGCCAAGCCATAATATGTACCATGGCTTGCTGTTTTAATCTTGAAGAAAGGATCCAATCTAGGGACACGAAAGATGAAGCAAAATCTATAAGTTGGATTTTAGTTGCTTTTAAGAATTATTTGCTATAGTTAGAACATCTGCCATTCTTACACTCAAGGCTTGAGATTTCTTTACAAGGGAAAAAAAATTAAGATTTTAAAGTTCTAAATAGAAATGTTCTCCATTTCCTACAAATGATCCTTCAGTCTTCGCCTTAATTACTTGGAGGGGAATATTCTACTTGACCCAACTGTTTCTTTTTTTTTTAAGTAATTAAAATCTTATTTTCTTTTGTTTAAAAATGGAACTAAAGTACACTTCCTATTAACTTCTACCCCTTGTCCTACATCAATTGTCTAGGACCATCCAAAAAAAGCCTAATTCTTTTTTGATGTTAGAAATATTTATTAAATGCCTACCACACTAGGCATGGAATGAGGCACAAAGATGAAAGAATCCCTTTAATTAGGGGTAGGAAGACAAAAGCATAAATTTCATAACAGAGCTATACAAAATCTATAGCAAGTGTAATCAGAGCTAGCAGAAAGACTGAGAACTACCTCAAAATAAACAGTATTTAAGATGTATGTTGGGGAATGGGTAAAATATCAGCAGGATAGAAATAAAAAGATATTCCAAACATTCCTGGGAAAG